ACGGCGATCGACGAGGGGAGGAGACCTGTCGTAAGACTCTGGAAAACTCTGGAAATCTCGTCGAAAAAAACGGCCGGAGAGGGGCAGATGAGACGGTCGGAGCCGCACACATCGTAATTTGCAAGTTATTTTGCACGGCTATACGGATCGGATAACGAAACCGCGGGACGGACACAGATCGTTATCGGCTCGTTCTCGAAACATTCCTCGGGCGCACGACGTAAATCCAGGGACGCGCGTAACAAGAGAGTGCTCTTCCAGGCGTTTCACGCATGATCGATCGTACCCGTACATCAGGGAAAAGGGAGTCGAAAAGATTATATCGGTTTTGCGTAGGTTCACGTGTGTCCGCGTCTTTGGGGTTCTGGTAACGATCCGATTCGCTCCGGGTCACCGATTCTCCTCGGGGTCGAGTAACTCCTTTAAACAATGACCAATGGAATACTGATTGCCCTTTTGAAATTTTTTAAGGATTTCCTAAAAAATTTAGAATTTTTCTTTACATTCTAAAAAATGGTTAAGTGAGAGTGAATTATAAGAATGGGTAAATAAAGGATCATCTTATCGCGTTGGGTTATTGTTTCGCAATAAACTCGCGATATATTCTTCCAACATCCTGTAGGAAAACACGTACATCGACGTCGCCGTCACGGGTCATCGGCGCATTCGCGTCGGAGGATTCACGAAAATCGAAAGGTCTCTCTTTTTCGCCTAAACGAACTGATATTCTAGACGCGGCCAGCTTCGTTAGCCGCTCGTCGATGAAAACTCTTCACGGGTAGTTACACCGTTGCTTTCCCAATCAAAGGGAGGTACGCCAGAAGGAGTACGCCACCCTTATCTACACTTGTAACCTCTTCTTACTCTTTACCGTCGTGCCCAGCCTTTTTAGTTTTTCTTGTCAGCGAGATGCTTCGTTGCAAGTTTCAAAGGAAAATGGATCGATTAGGTGCTGCAGGAAATTTGCGTAAAATTTCTACCGCTCTTTTTAATTCTAAGGGGTGTGTAGTATTTAAACGAAACGTTAAAAATAGGAGCGATACGTTCGGTTTGGTGAAATTAATCACGGCGTGGCGTTTCGCGTACAGTTGTTAGCGAAATCACATGGTAAGTCCAGAAACGTGGAAAGATGCCGTCGATTCTCTCCCACGGCGCCAATATAACGCCCGTTGGCTCGCGCCCGCCACCGCCGCCGCCTGCAGCAATAACATAATGGCACAGGAAGAGAATGCGTTTGACTCGCGATCCAACACGCCCGAGGAATCCGAAGAGCTCCACGTACGAGCGGCCAAACATCCCTAGTATTCCTCGCTGAAAGCATAAACTGCTCGACGGCGTTGTTTATTGTTCAGAGTTTACGGCAGGTTTACGCGTGCTTCGGGGCCCCCTCTCGATCCCTGAATACGAGAGATTTCCAGAAAAAGGAACCCGACAAGGGAGAAAGAAATGAACCGACCGGAGAGGAGAAATCCGAGATCCCGCGATTCGATCTACGCTTGGCAAAACTCCATTTTATTCTGCGAATTCGAGATATCGAAGAGAAGGGTTGGAGGGAAACAATCCTCCAGTGTGATGTAATTGCTGCTCGAGGAAGACGGTGCGTATCGGTATCGTTAGCGGCGGTACGTTCAATGGATGGCAACGTTCTTTTATCCAGGTTTCCTTAACCTACTCGATTCGAGTACGAAACAATATCTCTCGTATATTATGATTTATTTGGAAATCTTTCTTTCAAAATAAAAGCACGTTTTAATAAAAGATAAATCTTTAATACATTTCGAAATTATTTTTTATAAGTTCATAGTACTTCCAACGATATCTGTAAGACTCGAACGGACGATCTCGAAGGGCGAAGACAATCGAAAATATCGTAGTCTCGAAACGCATCTTTCGACGATGCCGTGGTTATACGACTGTGTTTACGGTTCGCAAGTTTTCCTATACACGGCAGAGTACCGCTTTTAAGGGGGCGCATAACCGTTTCAGACGAATTGTACCGAACACGAGTCTCGCGCAATGGTCAACTAAACCTCCATAAGCTACGTATTATGACTTCTGGCTACCTTTTCAGCGCAAACAATCGATTATCACGCGCGTTTATCGCCATAAACATATTTTTCTTCGGACGATAGCTGTATTTCTCGAACATTCGATAAATTTACTTATCGCCGATCACCGAGAGCGTGCAACTAGCTAATTAGCGCTTATCGATTTTGCATCGTTCGAGATGCAAAATCCTCCATGTCCTCGAAACACAGATAAATGAACATTGTACTAACTCGTTCAGAAATAAGATTATCGTAATCGCGAACTGATTTACGTTTTACAGCCAACGATACATAGGTTTAGCTATCGACTTCGATATACTAATATTTTTAGCATTTGCGCCACTTTGGAGAGAAGTAAGAAAGAAATAAGAGAAAGAAACAAGTGAAAAAGAAGGGGAAGTCCATTTGTAGAAAGATCGAGTCTTTCCGTTGTTTGTCGGTGCGTTGCGAGACGTTGATTTAGATGACTGTGATTTCCGAGTTGGCTACTTGTTATCCGAGTCAGAAGGCGATTGGTGCGTGCTGCGGACTACACGGAAGGTGTGCGAATCTGATTCTCTTCTCTTCCCCTTTACCTGATTCATTCCGTCTCCCTCTGGCGCTGCGCAGCGCCACAGAAAGTCGCCACTAATGACGCAAAGAGGAATGCTGTCCGGCAGCGCACGACCACGTCGGTAGCCATTTGTAATTCGTTAAGAAAAAGTTGAGAAAAAGTCGAATCAAAGTGTGATGACGGAGGGGGGAAGCCCGGCTACCTGCAATTAGTGATGCATGCTGGCAGCCATAATTAAAATTGTATGGGCCCCTTTCCCCCTCCCCTTGCCCCCTGCCTCTCCTCGGCAACCACGGCTTTCTGATTTTCATATCCCCTCGGTTCCCTCTTCTTTGTCACTGTACCAATTCAGTTGGCTGCGAAAGCTCGTCAAAAGTTCGTTACTATAATAATCGAGCTTCGTGATTCGCTACGTCGCCAGCTGCGGCCACAATTATTTTCACGCGTCTTTACACTTTTCGAGAAACGTAATTCAACGAAACGACTACTAATAAACAGCTAATCCGAAAAATGCCACGATACAAACTGTATCGTAGTCGCGAACTAACGACGAAGTTGTCCAGAAAAAAAAAAAAAAAAGAAAAACATTCTATCCTTACCAAATTCGTGCTCTTCGCCAAAGTTTGAAATTTGTCGGTGCAAGGATCCGAGAAAGGCTGGTCGATCGGGGGATTTCGTGGGGAAACCGCGTCTAAATTCCAGTCCCGAGAGGGCGAGCACAATACGCAACGCGGCGTAAAGTTAATGAAGTACGAGAACAAAGAAACACCTCTGGGTAATTACGTTTTTATTGCGGTCCATTCGGCGGCACCGGCTGGTGGTACATTGTATCGGTTCCGCAGCGATTTAAAAAATCGCGGCTGCTCGGGCGCCCCGTCCGACGATGACAGAGTCGACAGAATATTACAGAGGTTCGCCAGAGTTAATTCCCCCGGGGGCCCGAGGAGGGACTGTTTTAATTAGAGAATCTAATTGATGGCCGCGTACGGTGTGGCTGCCGAGCAATCCATAAACGACTTCTTAGGGCCGCGCACCTGGGCAACACGGCGTTAATTACTCACCTTCTGTGGCCTGGTCCTTCCATCTCTCGACTCACCCTTTTTTTTTTTTCTTTCTTCTTTTTTTTTTGTACCCCCTCCTCGTTCCTTCGTCATCCTCGGAGGTTTTTTTCTCCTATCTTTCCCTTTGGCGAGCCTCGAGAGAGAGACGCGGGGTTGGAGAATAAAAGGGGCTGCGGGGGGGGGAGGTGGGGAAGGAGGAAAAACGCAGGATCGACTGTCGAGCGAAAAGGAACAGGAATAAAGTGACGTAGGGAGCTAGGGGAGGTGAGAGACGAAGGGGAGGGAGTGAGAGCAACAAGTGTCTCCCGTCGCGAGGCGCAAAAGCATTCCTAATTACACCCCTGCCCTTGGAGCGAAACGAGACAAAAAGCGCGTTGATTACATTTTCGTATAATTTCATCGGTCGGGCTCCTTCGCCATTAAGAGCCACCACCAGAGCGCGCAAATTAGATCGATTCTTTAATGCCCCGGGCAGGCGTAATTGGTTCTCATTCTCGGAAGCTGACGATGAAATCGGATATCTGTCGTGTACCTGGCCGCGACCAGCGGGGACCGGTCAACGTAATTGCTTCTCCGACTGTTTTGCGGTTCCTGGACCGAAAAACCACCCCACGGGCCTCGTGGAATATCGTTAATGTCGCGACACGAGGTCCCCCACCCCCTTGTTCCCACTGTTAATGAAGCGAGAAACACCATTTGCCACCCAGCCACCTCGCGAGATTTTAATGAATCGTAACGCCGCGGCTGTTATTTTAACGCATTAACCCGCGTCGCGAAATTCGCAGAGCTCGGGCCGTTATGCATGTCGTGATTGCCTGCGAAATTGAAAATATTCGCAGCCGTTCGGGGCTCGCCGGGCTCACGTGACGACGCGAGCATTTATTTCGCCGCCTGTGATTGCAGACACGCGAAGGATGTCTTATCCTAGCGTAATGTCAACAATCATTTGTACACTCGCGACTCTTCGAATTCCACCGGGTCTCGCAGGCGTGGGTTAAGTATGGTTAAAATAAAAGTCTCCATTTCTCGCGTTACCTATCATTTTCTGTTTATTCTCCCTGTTCCAATTTGAACCGAATGAATTATCGCCGTGAACTTTAAATTTCGTAATTTGAATTTTTTATTTTTAAATTTCGTGTCCGCTGTTGCGGACGTCAGGTCTGAAAGGGGCAACGATCTTCTCTTTAACAAGTTACTTCTCGTACGACGTAAAAGACAATGTCCAACAAAAACGTGTAGTCCTTCGAATGTCTCCCAGACGAATGAAATCGTTATGTAATCGAAAATGGTGGCCACGTATCGCGGAGATATTTTTAATACCCTCTCTTCTTGTTACAGTGGTACAGAGTAAACAGTACCAAAGTTCGAGAGGATTTGGTCCGTTTATGGATTCCCCTAGGGACAGGTCCGCAGCGTGACCAACCTGACAAAACTGCCGAAATCTTCCTAACGAAATCCGCTGAGAAATCGGACTCTATACCGCTGCAAGCGTGGCATTCTTTGGCGAGATCTGCCTTGTCCTGGTTCATCAGCCGCACGTCCATAAATGGGTGAGTACCGGCCTGCTCGTAAAAATCGCGGAATGTACACGTTATTAATTCCCCCCATTCTTTTTCCCTCCTCGTTCAACGATACATTAAATGTTCCATTCAGTTTCGTAGACGCATGCGGGTTTCATTCTTATGAAGAATGATTCTTTGTAATGAACAATCTATATATATGCCTTGATCGAATGAAGTTAGTTGGTTTATTACCAAGTAGCGGTAGCGTACGTTGGATTATTATAGAACAGCGGAATTTTGATCGACGTTGCGCTGCGTTAGCATCGTTATTGCTACATGGTCGCGGAATGCCTGAAATTTATTTCTTATGTGGCATGATGTAACACATCGTAGAATTGTTTCGACTTTAAAATCGAAGCTTCGCAAACGATTGTTTAGCTCGCGTATTAATATAAAAAAAAAAAACAATTTTTTGAAATATACATATATAATTCAACGGTCTCCTTAAATGCACAAGTTTCTCTACGATAAATGGACAGGAACATGAAACGGGATCGGATATCTCGATGAGACAATGCTAATGCACCGATCGAACTTTTTTTTATTATTACTCACATTTTTCTGATTAAAATGAGACCAAACACGACGTAATTCGGAACGTATTTACTACGTATTGTCTCACCGAAATAATCCCGGCGTTGGTCGACATTTATCGCATGTCGCTCCGTCCTCTTCTTCATTCGCTGTCCTTCTCCACGCTCGAAGTTTGTTGGGAACACATTCGAGGATACAGTACGACTGAAGGAGCCATGCAAAATCGGAGACCCAAAACATTGCACTCGAGTGTTTTTATGTGTTTACACTTGACACGAGTCGAGCGTCGAACGTAGAAAAGGACAGATAGTGAAAGAGAAAGAGGTCCGAGACAAAAAGAAAACACTCGACGGAAGCGTATCAATCGGTGAGGATCATATTACACCGGTGGTCGGGGTTACTCGGGCGAAACTACGGGCAAAAGAAATAAGAATGTGATGGCAGCGGTGGGGTTGATATCTGAGAGACATACAGAGTGTCCCAGCCTAAGTTATACGGAGCTCTAACCCAAACCTATCGGCCGAATACAAAATTTCAAATATGGAAATTGCATGGTAAAATGGGCCTCATGTTTCAGCGCGAAGGAATTTTTGTTACCTTTGTTATTTAACGAGATATGATGGTCAAGTTTCGTTTTTCAAATGGAACTATATATATATATATATATATATATTTTTTTTTTATACCATGCGATAGTACTTTTCAAAAAGAATTCATTAAGCTTTAATGTATTTACCCGATTTTTATTAGTTTTCAAGCTATCAAAGTTTGCAAATTTTCAAGGAGCAAACTCGGTTTGACCCCTGGCGGTCCCCTTGATGCAGTAAGCACCATGCGGTTCTTGAAAACGATACGGAGGGTCTCGTTTGGGATTCTAGGCCCAACGAAGGAAAATGGAAAGAATTCCAATATTCGGGGGCTATATTTATATATGTGGGAGACGGATAACCACTGTGCGAGGACTAGAACAAAAACGTGTCCTCGCACAGCTGATAAGACGCGCACGCGAGCTGTTGGCTAATGTCAACGGCACCAAACGTCAACAAGACGTTTAAGCGTACGACAGGTGAGTGACCGGCGAGTGCGAAAGTGAGAGAGAGAAAGAAGAGTAAAGAGCAATAACTACGAAACCGTGTATGTAAACCGCGAAGGAACAAGAGAGAGACGCATTTTGTAAAACTGCGAGCAGCGTAAGAATAGCGAGAATTGTGAGTTGTGAATCAGCGAGAATTATTTAGTTTACCCATTTTTGTTACAATAAAAATTACTGCACACCCAGAAACACGTGGGATAATTGTCCTAACCGACATACTTAATTAGGTTGTCCCGAAAGTTTCTTTCGCGAGTCGCACTCAATTATTTGATGTGGTCGCGGTTCTATAAATAGACAATCTAATTTCATAGATATTCATGTTGTAACAGTAATGGAGCAAAATGAATCGTGCACAATTCAGTAATGTAACATAAAACATAAACTATCGTGCATGTATTACTTATTAATAAAGCGAAAGAAACTTTTGGGACAACCTAATAAATAAAATCCTTACATATATATCATATTTGAAATTTTGCATGCGGCCGATAGCTTTGGTGTTATAGCTCTGTATCACTTATACTGGAACATCCTGTATACATGTCGAATTGAGTAACCTCCACCTTGTCGACATCGATTAACAAGAAATCATAGGAGATCGAAGGAAGCAAAGTTTCTTCGATTTCCAAAGGCTTAATTACTTGGTTCGATACCACGAAATTCTGGGGTCCCTGGTGGCTCAATCCTTCGTCGACAAAGTCGCCACAGGTGTCGGAAACCTCGAGTTAGTCGTCGGATACCGTGTGCCTATCAAGTTGAACCATACCCTATCGAAATCAACACGCGCGACAGTTTTCCCCGCGGGGACGAGTTGGCAAGAATCGGGAAACGAGCGTTGCCGAGTTTGTCCGCGATTGGGAAGGCCGTGACCGAGGCCAACCAAAGGCAGATCGTTCGCGAAGTGATGAAAGGAGGCTTTCCCTTCTCGCCGGTTAATTAATAACCACGAAGATACGATCTCCGCCTATCTCGCTGTCCGATGAAGCTCGACAAGCTGGTGGCAAAGGCCCTGGCATGGCCGTGGCGTTGCCTGCTCTCGGGGCTCGTGAGGTGGGCCCCAACGGAACAGAAAGAGGGGGCAACGAGCAAGAGCGAGAGGGAGGGAGAGAGGAATGGTTATTGATGACCAGCTTTGTTTGCCCCCCCGAACCGTTTATTAAAATCCAACGCGGGTGATTAACCTCTCCCCGACTGCGTCGTCCTGACAGCTACCAGGCGGAACACCTCCGCAGCTCGGGGTGTGTATATAGGATTGACCGGGGAACCGTTTATTAAAATCCAGCACGGCTATCCGTGCTACTAGGCGGAACAGCTCCGCCGGGCCGCTTCATGAATTAGAATGATGTAGAAGTTTCTTCGTTGGCTTCCCGTCAGCCACGGATTGAGCAATTAACGCATTACGAACGCGGGGACGTCTCGGTTCCCGCGGCCGCGATGATAAATTCCCGTTAAAATATGGATTCTCTCGAAACCGTTTTATCGATCGTAAACCAGACGGGGGAACGAGACGTATCGGTACGAAGTGCAACCTCCGTAAAAGTCAATCCGTCGAGACAGTTAATATTGTTCGCCGTGCCGTAAACACAAGTAAAATATACGCGTAACCGCGGCGTGGCGTGGTTGGCGTGAAAAGTATTAACGGTTCCAAACGTGCGTGAATACGATGGAACTTGTTATTAATGGATTGGTAGCGTGGCGTGATGAGAAACAGTGGATACGCGATGGTTTAATTGCGTGTGTAATAAACCTTACGGTGCCCCGGGTCTTCAGGTAATACGATTGAGATAATTTTTGTAAATAAAGAATAAGAACGGGAATGCGTGATTGTCCTTGCCGGATAATTTTAGGAGCACTCATAGTTGCAGGAAAAGAAAATATGGGAGCGCGTCGGAGTGCCCGCGTGGTTGTAAAATGGCGAGAGTCGAATTTACCGTCCGTGGACTTTATTCTAGCCTCGCGAACTCGTAAAAAGATGTATCTCGATATTTATGCGCCATGTAGTTTAATTGGTGCTCGAACTAAATAAGTGATCCGAACAGTTACGATATTCCTGTGAGAAAACATCGCGAGTGGAGCTGGTACAATTCTCTCGGTGAACTACGCAGAGATTTTTGTTTTATTGTACACGTATATTGTAGAATCGATTCACGAGGTACCGAGCAAGTACATCCTAATATTAACACTTGCAAGATTAATTTCGCCAATGATCTAAAGCTGAGGTGGTAACAATTCGAAACTTGATTTAAGTAAAACAGTTTCACATTATTTTTCCCATTATCTGTATGTACGTCACTCGCGATAATTCTTGAAGGAAACCGAAAAGGTAGCAACGAGATATTACAGAACGATATAAATTGTCGGTGGCTCGACCGTAATAGAAAGTTCAGTAACGATCGAAACGGTGAGAACTGGACATTAACAATCTTTATCACTCGGCAATCTTCTCGCTACCTTTCCTTTTGGTTTCCTCGATGAATTGCACCTTCCGTTAGTTAGCGAACTTTTTGCTTCTTCAATTGATTCTGCTGATGCGAGTTCACTTGCTACTCCTCTTCTTGTCTCTGATGGTGGTTGGTCGGCGTGCTGTCGGGTAGAGAGAGATTTTCCTCGTCGGTACTCCGCGTACTCTGAACAGCATATCGAGAGACGCTAACTTTGATAAATTCACTCCAAGTGGATGAATGAAGGGATGGAAGAGTACTTTGTGATGAGCTTTGAAGATCTTTACCTCACGGTGGACATTGCACTAGCAATTGACGATTAAAAGAAAAAATTCATCTTATCGTAATTGAAGACAGAAATAGGAGCATCGTACGAAAAAGTAAGCAAGGGTATAAATATAATGCTCTGCGTTCCAAATTGCACCGTCTTATCGGTTGGCCGTGTGCCGTGAAATATTAAGATAATCTTCGTTTATGTTTCCAACCAGTAATCCGACGATATCAGATAATTTTGATCTTGCTTAATCTTTTAACTTTTGTGATCCCACATTTAAGTCCGTTTTTTTTTTTTTTTTTTTTTTTAACATTCCAATAAGCGTAAATAACTCGCATAAATTTTGCAAGTATTGATAATAAACACAGAGTGTGGACGATTACCGGCTATTTATCTTCGTCATCGCGTGTGTCCTTACGAGACACGCGTGATTAAACCACTTCTCCGTTCAATGATAAACTGTTTCCTGCATCGAACGATATCGATCGCTGCTACGTTCTATAACGTACGGGTTGCCTAATTCGATAATATCGCGTGTACGCGTGTTTTGACACGACCAATCATCGACAACGTATATCTTCATCATTTCGGACAGGGAAAAAATATGCTCCGATGGAATTACTCGCTATAATTTTCAACTTCGTGG